TTCTACATCCGTAGTTATTGCATTAACCAATAACTTGCCACTCATCAAGTATTACCGACTTAGCGTCCATCAGACTGGCACATCTGGTTGGTTGAACGGAGGATAAACTGAGCAACGCTAATAGTCATTAGAAACCTATGTTCGGTTGAGCCATCCGAAGTATTCAGATATAAATAGATTTGGAAGGTTAATATAGTTCTATTAATAGAACTAGACCAAATCTTATATTTGGTATTTTACTGGGGCCTTTTAATGGCCTTGTTCAAATATATGATATATAAAATGGAAAAGGTATTTAATTAATAAAAATCGTTAAAAACCATTTAAGAGTTTACGTACTTTTAAGAGTACGTTTTACGTACTATTAAGAGTATGTTTATATTACAAGATTCTAATGTGGAGGCCCGGCTTTTACAAAACGATGTAAGATATCATCGCCCACGGAAGCGTGCGTTACTGAATCTACCGCGGCAAAGATGTAAACACAGGTATTCCTTCTCACCCATCGTATGATGCAAGCAGAACCTGAAGGACGCACTGAGGACTACAGGACGCTCGTTCGTTGCAAGGATTAATTCGCACATATAACGAGACGTCGAAGACTTACTCAATAATGGTAGATAAACGGACACCCAAGGAATGGCCACCTAATCCACAGGGCAGCTATTATTTGGATAGTCCGCAGAAGAGTTTGATTGGCATAAGAATGCAAAATTGCACAAATTACCCCCGATTCATATGCAGATGGGCCTACATAGGACACTATAGAAACAAGGAGCACCCAAGGCTCTTTTGGATTTTATTGTGGAGAACATACAAAAATTGCAGTCCATGTCGTTTCAGGACGTCACTGCTTATATTATACGCATACACGAACAAGATCTGGAGGATAACGCATACAGAAATGTATTAGCTTGCATGAAGCTAAACACTTTGGTGCCATTAGAGACACAACGTTGGGATTTTGAACGCAAAGTGGACTTTATGGAGATACGATAGTATGAGAATCCGCTACAAGTGTACCGCAACCATGAGGTGTTCAACCTAATCAATCAAGCTGCAGGGGGTGCATATTACAGTGATACTCTTCGTATGCACCATAACTGGCGAGAATATTCCGCGGCACAAATGCGTGATGTATTTCTGGGGAGTATTGATACGGCGGAAGAACACCGTCGGGCAAACCTTTCCCAACCACTGCAGATCCCCGGGGGCACACGGGCTAACCCGCATGCGCCGCCAGCATAGAACCCTAGGGCTCGATGTCGGTCATGTGAAAAGAATCTCCCTCCTGGCCCAGCACACGCACCACGTTGCCCTAAGGTACTGCGAGCACCAACATCAACGAATACGGACAGCCATACGCAACCTGGAGGTGCACCAACACACTGTACATCGGCTGGGGAAACATCCACGCGCACACAACAGGCGCCGGGTAATAACTTCCATCTTCAAGTAAATCTCGTGGATGAGGATGATCAAATACCTGATCCGACGCCAGATGAGGTAGGAGAGAGTGAGGTGATGCATATTCATGATTTGGTCGACGAGTCCTATTTCGACAGTGAAGATGAGTTAATGGAGGCCGAGCAAGGGTTTGACCCCATACCAAGCAGTACACAGGTCACTCGCTTTGTATCGGTGGCCTCACCGTGCTTTTCCATGCAGAACAACCTAATTACTCAGCCGATGACTGTCCGACGTCATGGAAGTATACTGTCATCCAATGCATGGCACAGATCATGCCCGCATTGCCAAGACGCTAACTAACTTTATAACCAACAGCTGACTTTCGTGTCTCTAATCAATTAGAGTGACGTCCCGGTTAGTATCTATATAGTAAATTAGGTGAATGACTGAACCAACCAACCCAAGTCCACCCAATCCGCTCCTGGATAGATTTCTCTGAACCTTCTAAGCTGGGATCAACTCGCCTGGGCGGATTTCTCTAATCCTTTCGCGCTGGAAAAACTATTGTAGCTATGACACACCCCTCATTGTGCACTATATACTATATAGCCTTACATATTTTTGTGTTTGAAATGACAATCTGAAAAACTCAGTTATTAACTTATTATAGTATTTACAGGAAAACTATGAATTTATGAAAACCGTGCAATTTGGTTATAACTTTATTTAGGTAGCTTTTCATCTTGTTTCAAAGTTTTATTTGGGGGTTTTTTTTAAATATGGGTTCCTTTTTGTTTGGTTTTTTAATTTTGAGAAAAAAAGAAGAACAAAACCAACCAGCAAAAATAAAATGATATATACAACAACCAATGAATACGTATTATTTCATACGATGGTGTAATTTCCAATTTTTCTTCTTCTTTTTTTCTCCAACAGCCTCAATACGTTTTTTCATAAAAACGTACGTCTACGTGTTAGCCCTAAGTTAGATACTTTGGATGCATACTAAAAGCGCTGAGGTTCAAAATATTGTATCTATTCCACAGATATGTGTCCGTTTAGTAGTCTTTTAGGTCGATTCTTTTATCCAGTTTTTTGACCCATATAAAACGTATTTAAAAAGTTATAAAATGATATCATTAACCGATATAACAATAAGCGTTTGCGTTCATCAATTAAAATAGACCCCAATAACGGCTCTTGATTTTATACTTTTTGATGATCTGTGCAGAGTGCTGCGTAGATTGGATTGTAGTATAGAAGAGGAGGACAAATCAATTTGTTGGGCACTTCGGTCACAGTGGAACCTAATGAGATAGTAGACGAACGTTTGCGCTTACCGTGTGTTCATGTCACGCCACGCCACGATGGTCTTGAACTCACACGCGTAATACGTGAGAATACCATCGTCATACTTCGCATCAAATCTCTATCCTTTTCAACAGCGCTTCTCCTTTTCTTCTCCTATACTTCTCCTTTTCTTTAGTTGGTTTAACAACCAAATGCAAACCATGAAAAACAGCGAATAGGTCACCCACGCGGTGACACCAGTTATTTGCATCGGACAGGGTTAGCGGAAGGACTGCTCATTCATAGACCAACACTCTAAACTAAGCATCGACTGCAACATGGCGCGTTCTGTTCCTTCGGAAGCTCCTTACAACTTAGATTATACCGCTCTTGCCTCGGTCGATGTCGAGTCGCGAGACTGTGGTGACTCCAAGTCTGAAGTTCGGCGTAGGCAAAGCCAAATTGCACTCGCAAGTCGTTACAATGGCGTACGAGCGGATCAATCCTTCGCGTGGGCGGCTGTCTCAGCTAGGCAACTAGGTGTGTTCGACTTTCATTGGTTTTATTATCGTCGGATAGGCTGTTTGGGGCGTGTGTGGTATATGTTAGAGGTCGGGAGACGGCTCTTGTTCTATGTGAACCAAATTCGAGACGTGCTAATTCTGTTTATGGACGAGTGTAGTTCGCTCATTCCCGGGAACAAATCGTAATCGTTTACTTCTTGCTGTCAGTTATCGGTGAAGGACTTTTAATGTCGGAACGCACAGTCACTGGTCAAAAAGCATCATCTTGCCGTATAAATCATATCTATAGTACGCGATAGAATACACAGTCATACGTCTTAGGAGTGTGCCTACGTATATGCACTTAGCCTTTTGCACGGGACGTTTTATTGGTCTATAGTCCGGACTATCCCTGATAGCTAGTTCTTTTCTTTAGTGTATTAGTCCCTTAGTCTTTTTTGTTGTTGTTGCTAGAACGGCTCGTAAGTAGCAATTTGTCAACAGCGCTTGCCTTCTTTGAGTGGCGCCCGATAACGCGACATCCGACAACGTCTTATCACTCGCATCATCACCCCTGCAGATGACGTCTCCGAATTTGTCGTGAACCTATGGGAGCCAGGGAACAAACAGAAGTCTCCCTTAGTTCAATCCACCCGTGCATTTGCTTCATACATGGTACAAGAGTTGGGGATATGCGAAACGGCCATGCTAGCTTCGCTCGTGTATATGGTGCGGCTGAGCGACGTGTTTGCCGAGAAAGGACTGTCCACAGTCAATTGCAGCAAGCAGTTGTTTGTGGCGTGTCTGCTCACGGCAACGAAGTACTTGTACGATATCCCGCAAACAAATGCCTCCTGGGCGCGGGTGTGTCAACTAGATCCAAGTCATATCAACAGTATGGAGCTAGAGCTTCTCGAAGCCCTGTCCTTTCACGTGGGTGTGAGTGCACGGGAAATGGACGGCGCACGTTTGTATAGTAAGCGGCGTATTTCCGCACCCACGCGAGCATGCGACAACTCAGTATACGTGCCTACTACAACCCGGCGGGAGTTTCCGGTATCCCCGATGTACCAGCCCAGTTCGTCGCGCCGCTCTGCGCACAGATCCGTGTCGTCTGCGCTCGAATCACGCTCAAATGAGCGTGCCGAAGCGCGTGAGGCCAGGTTTGCGCGTGACAGCGTGTTATCACCGAATGAGAGTCCACGAGCTGGGTCGATCAGGGATGCTTTCAGCGGTAATGGACACATGTCACGAGATATACCGTCACCGGCACCCGATGAGACCTTCCGACGATCGTACAGCAGTGGCATGCGCACGGTAAGCTTTTGGTTTGTGGAGTGTGTGTATGTGTGTGAGGTGGAAGCTGGCTTGGATCGATTTTGTGTGGGTGAGGATTTTAACTTGCTGTCAAATGATATGCGTATTGTTTCAGATGAAATGGGAATACATTGCGGAATTGGGGCGGGTCATAAAGCAGTATCAACGTGTGTCACATGTAATATACACTAGCACAGGCTCAGAACTGCGAAGCAACCAGCATATATATATATATATATATACATATTTATATAATATATATATATATATATATATATACATATATACACATATATATATATATATTATATATATATATATATATATATATGTATATATATATACACACATATTTATATAT